CATAGGTTCCTATGACCTTATGCCTTCTCTGCATTTAATCTCACTAGGACATAATTCAATGAGGTTTAGTTTCACTAGCTAAGGTATTGCTATGGGATGAATATGAAACTCTTGCTTTATATTCTCTTCCTTAGAACCACCCTCCCCAATTTTTAAAACCCAGAAATTTCCAGAAGTGGGACGAGTCTGTTGCTTGTATAACTGTAGGGAGATAAGAGTTGGCAAAAGACGTGGCATTGTCTTGTTTCTTCAGACAGACTGGGGAACGAGAGCCTGTATCATCAGTGTGCTGTATGTTAATGTTGCAGAATGTGAGCGAGGGGAGAAAATCCCTCTGCTTTTTGATTGGGGTATCTTTCTTGCCCCTGCCCCATTCTCCTCCCCTTTTCCTCCACTCCTAGGTGTGTGTGAGTCATAGTTGGCAACTATTACTAATGATTACAGTCGCTCAGACAAAGTTATAGCAAGAAGGACCCAGATGTTTCTTTTCACTTTTGCATTCATAAAGTAGCTGATTCGTAATAGGTGGACAGTAAATACTTGTTGAATTGCAATGAAGATGCAGACATGTTTCAAATTAGCTTGAAATACAGCATTGATGGCAGGCTTGCATCAGGAGGTCAGAGGATGACAGATTGTAGTATGGAATGTATGCTCTGGCCCTTACTCTCTCAAGATCATATTGGCTATATTCAGGAGGTAATCCTAAGTGTCTGGAATGACTTCTCTCCTTCCATAACTTTAGTCCTCAGTAGACTCTCCCCCCCTCAGCCCCACCCCCATTGTTAGAAATCAGTTACTAGGGCCTCAGTTCCATTTAATCACTTACCATTGATTGTTTTTTTTTAATAAAGGAGATATTTATTTTATACATATAACAAGAGTAAAGTACAAACATTTCACACACACACACACACACACATCCATCCCTCCCCTCTACACTTTGGTCTCTAGGACTTTGGAATAGGCTTCTAACTTAACCTCAGTTCCTACGTAGCATTGATCCCACTAAATTCCTATCCAGGTATTTCATGACAAGGGATAAGTCCTAGCCTTAGCTTAAACTGGACTTGGATTTCAAAGGTCATTCCTTGTACCCTGAAGAATGAATGCCACACTGGTTCTGGAACCTGGAATGCCAAAACGGCAAGGCATCCTCATGGAGGTTCCACTGTCTACACAGGGAACAGAAAAGAATAAACATAGAGCCCAAAGACTGAGGCCCATTTCTCAAGGGCCACATGACCTCAGAGGGGAAAAGACTTCTCCTCTTAACTCATTGTCTCTCAGTGAGTCCCATAAGAAGTAGCTGAAGCTTAAAGGTCATTTTGAATACCTGTGCAAGTCAATTAATACACTTCCTTTTCAATATGTGGTTAGCCCATGAGAACCAGTAACAGAATCTCAACACATACTCCAAAGAGGTCACTTCTCTCAATAGTCAGTTACTATTGCCTGCAGAGCTTTTATTCTCAACTTTCAACAGCTGACACTAGTTACTACAGAATCTGCTTTTAGTAATGACCAGCATGGGAAGAATGTCAAAGCATTCCAGTTAAAAAATGTACTTATGCTATTCTTTGAATTAACATAATTACATGCTCCAACTCCTTGTTTTAACTCTCTACGAATCCTTTGGTTTCAAGGATGTTTCTTTCAAGGAATATGCTGTTGAACTGTATTTCTTAATCCATTCTGCTACCATCCTTTTTATGAGTTAGTTCATTCAATACAAATTCAAGTGTGAATATTAACTGTTTCCCCCTCTACCACCATCACTCTTCCCCCGCTCCCTTTTCCTCATCCTTCCAATCCACAGATAAGAAAGCAGGGAAGGAAAAGGAATAGGATCAATACTAAAAATCTATAATTGAACTAGTCTTATCCTTCTCCTTTGCCTCTTATTTCTTTACTCGGTTGATTTTCTTTGCCTGTGATGAAAACTTCATATTTATCCTTACTGGAGATAGGAAGGAAACAAATGTTTATTAAGTGCCTACTCTGTGCCAGGTTTTAGACTAAGTGATTTATGAATATTAATCTTACTTGATTCTCACAAAAAAAACCCTGAGAGGTAGGTGTTATTACTCTCCCCCCATTTTATGTGGAAACTGAGGCAAATAGAGGTTAAGTATCTTCTTCAGAGTCATGTGGCTAGTTACTCTCTGAGACTGGATTTGAACTGAGTCCTTCCTCACTACAGGCTCAGTTCTCTATCCATTCTTACACTTAGCTGCCTCAACAATAGGATAAATTGAAGTTTAACTTATCTGATTCATACCAATAATCTCAACCGATAATATCCCTTGGGATCTTTACTTTGTCATCAATTATATCAGCAAATTCTCCCAGCTTTGTGTGTTCAGCAAATTTGATGAGCAAATTTATCTCTTTATGAGAAAAGGTTTGTTAGTTAATTAAAAAAAACAAGTTTACTAGACAAAGGAAAAATAAAGGTATGCAATATAAAGAGATAAACAAGGAAATCAAATTTGGCTGAAAGAATTCTTAGACAACAAATCAATATCAATATTAAATGTGCATATTTAAAACACCATAGTATCTAAACTCACAAATACATACAAAATTAACTGACTTACAAAATGACATAGGAACATAATAACAATAGAAAATTTAATATCCTTGTTTGATAATTGGACAAATCTAACAGAAAGATAAAAAGGAAATGTGGAATTCAACAAAGTGGTAGAGGAAATACGGCTAAATATGGTATTTTCTAAATGAGATTGTGAAAGGATATACATATTTTAAAGTAGCACATAGATTTTTTACAAGAAAAAAGACAATCTATTAAGACACAGGGGTCTTACAAATAAATGCAAAAAAAAAAGCAGAAATATTGAACACATTCTTTACAAACCATAACACAATAAAAAAAGTAATCAGTTCTGGAAGGACAAACAAAAGACACAGACCCAAAATGAGTCTATTTAAAAAATGAAATTTTAAATTACAAATGGATCAAAGAAGAAATTATAGAAGCAATTAATAATTATGTGACAGAAAATAATGACAACATACTACACCAAAATTCCTGGGATGCAGAAAAAAGCAGTCATTGGAGGGAAAATTATATCCCTAAAAACTAAAATTATCAGAATAGAAAAGGAGAGCATTAATGAACTAAATTTGCATTTTTAAAAATTAGAAAGCAAACAAACCCAAAATAATGACAAAAGAGAAGATGCTGAAAATCAGAGGAGAGATACACAAATGAGAAACCAAGAAGAGTATAGAAATTATGAGTAAAATAAAAAGTTGGTTTTTTGAAGTCTAGAGAAATTGTTAAACCTTTAGCAAATGATTAAAAAAAAGTGTAGAAAATCAAATCAACAAAGTACCAAATGAACAAGTTAAAATTACAACCAAAGAAGAGAAATAGTAATGTTCTTCCTTGTTTTTCCTCATTTCTTCTCTAGTATGTTGCTTTCTACCTTCCCTTTATTTCCTTTTATTGCCAAACAAGGAAACAGAATCATTCTGCATTTATCTTTCTTTACACCTTCCAGGATCCTTGAAGATCTTCAGATTCTTAAAGTAAGCTTTTCGCTTCATTACCATTAAAATTCAAGCACTTGATCACCTTTCAATCACTTAAATATATTTACATATCTGGGCCACAAGGTAGAGTCTGGGGTCAGGAAGACCTGGGTTCAAATCCAGACTCAGACACTTACTGTGTGACCCTGGGCAATTCACTTAACCCTGTTTGCCTCAGTTTCCTCATCTGTAAAATTAGCTGGAGAAGGAAATGGCAAACTTCGCCAATATCTTTGCCAATAAAACCCCAAAGGGCTACAAAGAATGGTATTCAACTGAAAAGGACTCTACAGCAATATTTAGTATCTAGATTTTTATTGTCTCCTGTGCCAGTCGAGCCGTGCACTCTCCTCCTATAAGGAGCAGGCTGCCAAGGTCATACTTACCAGTCTTTGGTGCCCACCCGGATTAAACACAGAGA